ATGGTTTTTGTTTTTTATGATTTAGTTATTGATTGTATTCTTTTTGTTTATCTATAGTTTATCTATTGTATTCTTTTGGTTTATCTATGGTTTATATTTAGTTATTTACTGCTTTTGATTTTGTCCTATTCAAATTTTTTATGATTTATTAAAAAAAATAGATAATATGCTTAAGATATACTTAAGATTAACTAGTTTTTTATGATTTATTAAAAAAATAGATAATATACTTAAGATTTAACCATTTTTTTTATTATTATTTAGTAAACAAATAAAAAAATATACTTAAGATATACTTATGATTAACCATAAATTCAAATTAATTTTTAATAGAGATAATGTAATAAGTTTAAGATAAACTCTATGGTTAGTATTTTTTCTTATTATCTGTAGTTTATATTAAGTTTTATTTTGTATATGAATTTATTATATATTTGCTTGTTATTAATTTTGTTAAAATTTAGTGATAAACTTAAGATAAACTTTGTAGTTAATGTTTTTTTTTATTATTTGTAGTTTATTTTAAGTTTTATTTTTGTATATGAATTTATTGTATATTTGCTTATTCTTAAATTAGTTAAAAACTGGTAATAAACTTAAGATAAACTGTATGAATAATGATTTTTGTATTATTATTTGTAGTTTATATTAAGTTTCATTTTGTACATTGAATTATTATATATTTGCTTTTTTTTTTTTTTTGTTATTAATTGATAATAAACATAAGATAAACTGCAAGGATAAGATAATAAACCTAAAATAAATTAAAACTAATCTAAGAAAAGTTGACAGAAGAAAAAGAAAAAATGTTGAAAGAAAAAAAGAGCGTGGACTTTAATCAGAAAAGGGATGGCGTCCTAATATGGAATTGTTTAAAGATGTACGTAAATGTGGTAACTATTTTTGAGAAAAGCACAATTGTGTCCTTTAGCCTTTGAATTTTCATAATTCAAAAATTGAATTTAATTTTAATTAAGTTTTTGGCAAGGCCAAGTTGGACCAAATACAAGCAGGTTGGGCCTAGAAACTGTTGATTTTGTAGTCATTGCAATATCAACGACCAACAGGCCCAATACAGAGTTGGTCGCACTTTTTAGCAAGATTCCACTGGAATAGCAGTGACGTAAAAAAAATGAGAAAAACATTGTAGAAATCAGAGTATTTATATAATAAAATTTCATTAAGCATCTCCATCATGTGTAACAATGGTTTGAACTCATTTCTTGTATTCATGTGTGATTGTTCAGTGATGTGTTTTCTCCTTTTATGATTATATTTATCGTGATGTGCTTCTTAAGATTAATTCGAGAATGAGGTAGAAGACCGAAAGATCTTTTTCAAATGGCAAGGAGGAAGGAAAATGATTTTGAAATAAAGTGCCAGCTCTTTCGCCTATAAATGCAACAAGACGAGCACAGACATTGAAGTGTACGGGAGAGTGCATGTAGCCACACCAAATAAAAATTGAAAGCGATTTAAACAAAATTGTCTTCAATAAACCTCACTCTCATAACGTTTTCACTAGAAAATGGTCGCGCGCACGTAGCGTATTACAAATTTACGAGACTTGAAGTCATTTCTTATATTCCTACCCACTACAGACAGTTTTTTTGAGCTTCTGAGTTTTTTATCACACCGCACACACAATAGACACGTGGGCTTCCTTATTCCTTGTCTGATCCTATGGGCCACCTGGACAGAAAGGAATAATGCGAAGCATAGGGATATTATATTTTCTTGTGCTCACATTATTTTGCAGGTTGACAGACACCTATATCTCCTCACCGCCCTGAGTAGACTCACGACGAGAGACTGGACAGGGTGTACACTGTCCCATCGTTTGAGGCCACCACCTCCTTTACCTGTCCAACATCCACGACCCAGGACCGTTGTTTGGCTAAAACCCAAGGCCCCTTGGGTTAAGCTAAACACTGATGGCGCTTTCGACAGACATACCGGAGCTGCTGGAGGAGGGGGTCTGATTAGGGATCATGGTGGGGCACTCATCTCTGCCTTTCATGGGTCACTCCGGGCCTCCTCGAGTTATGATGCAGAGATTCAGGCGCTCCAAATTGATCTCGAGATTGCCGCCTCGACCTCCTCTCATGTCT